CACTTATTATTGGCGTAGCATTATCCATGGAAATTTGACATGTTGACCCTCGTATAATGATGACATTTGATGACAAAATATTTTTTAAATTTTAGGGTTATGAAACAGAAAGCCGAGTTGCCAGAATGTGTAAAATATCTGAGTAAATTCAAATAGTAAAATTATTCAATTTATTTATTAAACGTAACCATTACAATAAGCTCCATAGCATAAATATGTTTTTGCAGTAACTTTTTTTTCGGTTTTGGTCGAACGAAATTTCTTCTTCAAGAGAAATAATGAAAGGAGGAATATTTTTGAAAGGTAAGTCTCCCATGTATTTTGTCCAGTCTACTGAAATAAGTCTGTCACAATGTCTACAAAAATTCGTCCGCATGTCTGAGGTACATTTTGAAAGAGACTCACGCCATACCCTCGCAACCCTATCCGTGGATGGTGGCTGCGAAGTTATAGTTTTATTATAGAAGTTCTTACAAAACCCCCATGCCATTTCAATAGGATTATATTGGCAATGATAAGGAGGTAATCTAAGAACTTCGTGTCCGTGGCTTTTCAAAATGTCGTCAATTTTGTATTATTTTGGTCTATTCCGAAATGGTTGACTTAGGTTCCATAGTTGTTTTTTGGTCATTTTTGTGTCGAAGTCTACGTTATGTTTAACCAACCATTCCTGCATTTTGTCTTTCTTTGAAGAGAATTAAGGTGGTTTATCCTTCCGCTCTGAATGATATGGAGCGTTGTCCATGATTATTACACATTTCTCTTCAAATATATTCAATGCAGGAATTAGTTGATCAACGACCCATTTTTGGAAGATATCCGCGTTCATGGTATTGTGGTAGTCTCTGTCATTGTTTCTTGAATCTAGAAAAAAATCGCATCCATCTAAAAACCCAGAACTACTCCCCGCATGCAAAATAGTAGAACGTTTCCCCTCTGACTTAATTTTGGATGGGTTGCTTTTTATATCAGATTCGTGTATCCATCGACGAACTTGAGATCCGTTTTGGTAGATCCAAGTTTCATCTAAATACACGAATCTGATATTTTCGCTTGAATGTTTATATTGGAGGTATTTCCGCAAAAATGTAATTTTGGCAGCAAGAACATGTTTCTGCTCACATAAAATTTTGCGTCTATTTACTGCTTTAAATTTATATCCCATAGATTTTAAAATTTTATATAAACTTGTTTGCCCTCCCTTAAATTCCAAATTTTCTTTTGCGTATGTCAGTAATGTTTGTAATGTAAAATATTCATTTTTAGAATTGTATTTCCAAATTTGTCGTTGTAAATCTTCCTTAAACATTCCGTCCATAATAGTCTGTGTCTTTTTCGGTCGGCCTAAAGGTTTTTTGATTGTATATTGTCCAGTCAAAATTCTTTGAATAGTCCTGGTTCCCACCTAAAATTTAAGAAAAATGTTGGTTGGGTAAGAAATAGCTTCACATCTACATTTAAGTTATACCTACCTCAAATATATCTGCAAGTTGGGCTTCAATTGTTCCCTGGAGAGCCTCTGTTTTTTTTTTTTTTTTAAATAACCATGACATTTTAATATTTCCCTTTTTTTTCTTCTGAGATTATTTTCGGCATCTTCAATACGAAAAAAATTTGACAATGCCGTATTTTAAAAAATGTCATTAGATTTTGCAGGTACGTAAAATAGTTAGGTACCATTTATAAAAATAGCATTATTGAAAAATGCATTGAAAAATGTGTCAAATTTGATTTGCCAGATAGGCCAGAAAATTTTAATACCGCGGCACTTACGAAATTATGTAAACCACACTTAAAACTGTCTGGAATTTGACATATACTGTCATTATTATACGAGGGTCAACCTGCCAAATTTCCATGGATGTAGTTCTATTATGGTTCTGTTTCTGGATCGGCTGCTTCTAGAAAATTTCCTCTTGTGTGTATTGGTGTTGCTCGTATGCTTGCTGCTGGTAGTCATTTTGTTGTTGTTCTACATCATAGTAATCATTGTCCATTTCTGGATTGGTGTATCCACAGTGATAGTTAACCTTGGTGTTTTCGTTTTGCTCGATATTAAATGATTTTTCCACAGTGAATTTTGGAGATTGTTGTCGAGGTTTTACGGTGGCTCTTGATTTAGTGCTCATTGGAGTTGGTTGCGGAAGCGTGCGGTTTGGAGTACCTTGCCAGACATTGAATTGGGGTCGGGGAATCTGGAATCGTGCAGGCTATACAATAGGTTGTCTAGTCTGGTTGAATGGGAATCTGAATTGCTGTGTTTGCTGCTGTGATGTTCTCTGGAATCGAGAAGAGGGCCACAACTGTTGTTAGATAGAATTCTGAGGTCTGAGTTGTTGCGACTGGAATGGTTGCGAGAAAGTCTGGCTGGGTTGCATCATTATCTGCTCCTGATTATATTGGTTTGTTTTTGAGCCACTAGGTTGTGGAATGGAGAAGCCTTTCAAGAGATATCTGATGTTGTTTTACTCCTGGATAAATTGCATTGCTGCAGCTAAATCGCTGGGCCGCATAGATCTAATAGTCAATCCTAATGGCTTTCTTAGTCCTGCCATGAATGTAGAAAGCGCCTGTTGATGGGAGAAAAGTTTCTTACTAGTTTTGACATCTGAATTATTATGGTGGAGTTCTATATAATTCGAAATAGTATTTAGAAGTTCCATAACTTCGTTGTAGAATTTTTGAGGAGATTCATTTGATATCTGACGTAAATTACATAGGTCTCTTGTAAGGAAATTCTCGTTGCGTTGGTCGGCGAAGTTTTGCATCAGAACTTCTTTAATTGCTTTTCAATCAAGGTATCCATAAATCGGAACGGTTTGCTTTGCTTGACCAGTAAGTTTGCTTTTGATGCCCTGGGTAAGCATGTGGTTCTGAAAGCATCCTACATCAGTCTTGTTCCAGTAATAAGTGTGTGTAGTAGTGACGTCGTGGAGTTTATGAACTCGAGATGAGTTGATTGGGAAGCCCGTTATATTCTGGAACGATAGCCAGGTTCTTCATGTTGAAAATTGGAGGATTGGCAGGCATGCATTCTTCGGATTTTTCTTCGGGGAGGAGTACAGGTAAGTTGTCCGGATAAGTTAGAACTTCGAGTTTTTTTTTAGTAAATCGGCAGTAGGCATATATGCTTACAGTAATAAAAAGATGCAATGGCGTCGAACTTTCAAGTTTCTTTCGCGATATGGTTTACTAGCGGATGAACGTTCACGAAAGACGAGGATACTTAAGGGCTCTTTCATTATACTACAGATTGCGCCAATTAAGGGTTTTCCCTGGGAACATGGGTTCAATGATATTCGAATTCGCATCCGCAGAAGCTTGCAGGGTGTCTAGCCTGGCGGCAATTTACGTATCTGGCGTTCCACTCTTCCTTTCTTGTTAATTGCGGCAACTGACAGCTGTTGGAATGGCATGCGACAGTTTTTTCTGTCGAAGTGCATCGGGATTGAGTGTGCCCGATCAGGCATCAGTATCCTTACTGCATCTGGCCGTAGCGTATCCTTGACTCAACTTTGACGTCCAGTAACATCAGGCTTTTGAGATTCCAAATTTTTGGTTTAGTTTGGGTTTTTTAACAATTTAATATTTCGTTGTGAGTGGAGGTTGCTCGAAATCCTTGCATTTTTGTCATCGACTGGAAAATGTTTAGGTTCTAAAAATATCAGGGGATCAAAAATAAATTTCATTCTTAATTTTGTGAAAAATATTTTTCATCTTTGGTAACCTTGTAGTTAGTCTGCACATATTACTAATTCTTTTCAGAGTGATTAGTTTTTTCGAATAATACCATCAAGTTCCAGAATATCGAATTAATGATCTACTTCTTTAAATATTGTATTGATTGAATGGAAATTTCTTGTATATTGTATTTTATGAAATAAAGCAAGGAACATTGTCTTCCTATAAGAACTAGGTACAAATCTCCTGCGAAACATTAATCCCTAAAGTAAATTTTTACTTTCACATGTCCAAATGTCTGCTTCGTATTCAGTCGAAACACTATAGTTGGTTTCTTAAATGGTAAAATGGTACATTGATATTGAAACTTTCAAACATAATAATTGTTACTTGACCACCCTTGTTTTAATTTTTTCAGAAAAATGCCATTGTATCCGGTTGATATCTATATATATATATATATATATATATAAAAATCAAAGTTCGCGGGGTATCCGGATATGCGCTCCAAAACCACTTATCCGATTACGATGAAACTTTGGTAGGTTGTTATGGCCATCCCAAGGAAGGTTTGTGGATAGGTTACGCATTTCGGAAAAAGAAATTAATTTTGAATTAATTATTAATTTAATTGTAAACAAACTCATTCACATTACATAACAACATAACCCAACTTTTTCTGACAGCATGAAACAACGTTGCCATATTTCATTTATTTAGGCTTGCATTCAACCGATGTAACTTTATTATTTTTTGAATTCAAGAACGGCTGGACCGATCTTGAATTAATACCACGTATCTCTATATAAGGTGAATTCGATTGACCCAGATTAGATCGATTTGGGTTCAATTTAAGTGAACTTCTTCTGATCTAGATCATTTTTTTGTTAATGAGGGTGCACTGATCCAGCTTGAATCGAACACAGTGTGATTCACTTAAATTTAACCAGATCGATCTAATCCGGTCAATCGAATCGGCTATAGAGGAGATTGATATAGGCTATTTTTTATCCCGAAAAAAAAAAGTTCGGTTGCGTAAAACTCTGATACACTGGAACGCCTATAAACAGCCCGCGGCGCTCTAGAGCAGCTCTGGAGTGCTTAAAATGCGTCACTGAACTCATTGGCAAGCGACTATGATATCGGATTTAAAAAAAATAAATAAATAGAAAATCAACAACAAAATTTGAAAAGAAGTGTATTATTTCAAAATGTATTTACATGCTGGCAACGCAGCGGGTCATTAGCTAGTATAAAATAAAAATGTTTTTTTTTTTTTTTTCAGGTTTCTTTTCGAATAATCCTTTGTCCACCTTTAGCTGACTCGTGCATCAAAGCATGTCTTAGAGCAGCTGCCATGCTAGCTGTCTCCGGAGATTGTACATTGAAGCAAAGCAAATCCTCAAGAGCTGGTCTTCAAATGCAAGTTGGACGATTTCACAGGTGGATGTCTGACGTAAATTTAGCTAGATTCATACACGAGTACGCAGCAGTATATCTTTGCGCAGGAATCGAGAATCTTTTAGAAGAAATTCTTCTGCAATGCTTACCAAGTGATTCTGATGCGAATTTAACTGCTACGCTACTGGAACATGCCATAGCTAATAATGGGGATTTGTGGGGACTTTTACAACCTTATGCTCATCTTAATGCTGGTAGAATTGCTTCAGGTAAGCAATTTTTATGTTTAATCATTATGGAAGCAATGTCCTATGATTTATATTTTCATCTTTTCTTTACTCTATAAAAGCTCGTGAAAATAAACTATATTTTAATTATTTAATTATACATCCATCCTTTTCATATTTATTTCCAACAATAAGTCCCCAAGACCTCCCAAAAGTTTTAAATACGAAATACTACAAACAGAAGTTTTTTACTAACATATCTTATACTAGGTACCCACTTGATCTCCTATATTTAGTTGAAAACTCTCATAGCGTTAATTGAAATATTTTGAAAGTTCATAAATTACGTAACAAATGTGATCTATTGATTTTGGACAAACTTATTATATTGCCTCGCTAGCAGATGTTACAAGGCCCTTTAACTTTGCCTTTATCAATTTCTATATCCATAAATCTGATAAAATAATCAAATTCTGCTATAAAAGAAATCGCATATATTTATAAGGCCGTTCTATAGACACATATTTATTAATTTTGAATTCCCACCTTACTTGAAACTTTTTCTTTAAACCTGAAACAACAAGACCTACATTTGCCAATGATAAATATTCCAGGAACCGCAAGTCATCAATAGACAAATTAATATGTTTGGCTCGCCTCGATTAACCATTGTTCTCTCACCCAGACCTATCCCTCTCCGAGACAGTAGGTAAACATCTGAAAACACTTGGAAAAGGCCCACAGATCTCACGCCTGAACGAAATTTAGCCTAGGATAGAATAAATTATAAGGGATCTATTAGTCTTAGATATTATGATAGGTGAAAGGACTGGATCATTAATAATTCATCGAAATACGGCTAAATGATATTTCCTGGGTAAGGGTCATAGAAGGGTTTCAATTAGCTTATTTCGAATAGAACTTGAACTTTATTGAAATAATATAGCGGATATAGGTGAATTATATTTATATATTTTTGTGTCCTTTTTTTTGTCCTAGGTGCTCTTTCTTTACCTCGATGGGCGTCAGTTTCCTCCGTAGGAAATTCCAGCCGAGATTCTGGAAGAACCTCGAGCCTCCCAGAGCCATCCTTAATGACAACTTGCGTCGGATCTTTACAGGAACTACAAGACCTAATTAGCCGAATGAAACCTAGAATACCGTTGTGTCCTAAAGCAATACGAACTCTATTCTATTTTATGAGATGTTCTCAATTGGAGCATGGCGACCAAAGTAATGGACACGCAGTCCAAGAATTATGTTATGAACGTGCCTACGTAGTACTTCCACCACTTGTAGAATGGCTACGAGTTGCTACAGCTCACGGAGAGCATCGTTTTGCAGCTATTCTGGATAAAGACGATATCATGCAAGCTGCAAGGCTATTGCTGCCTGGAGTCGATTGTCCAGTACGATCATTGGGTGAAGAAGCGGTGAGGGTGAGGAAAAATACGGGCAGTGAGGAGGACCATGTTGAGGCTACGAATCAAATTCAGGTAAACTTATTTTCAGGTGTGAGCTCACTTAGGATCAATCCAGATTCTTTCAAGTTTTTTGCGTGATCCTTTCTGAGAGGACCTGTTAGGTGTTGGTTTCAATTTTGAATTTGGCAAGCAAAAATTGCAATATAGCTATAGGTATATTCTATCAACCTTTTCAACTCAGGATGCTCCAGGGTTCAAATAGAGATACAATTAAAACAAAAAAAAAACCTTTGCCACAGTAGGTGAATCCTTGATTGCTCCTCCAGAGAGCCTTGCCTCGGTTTTCTATGACAACCTTGTCAAATGGTTATGTGTCCATGCTTAACTAACTACTCCCAAGGAAAGGAACAACTATAAACTTGGTTCCAAAGAGATCTAAAATAAAATTAAAACATAAGCTAGATACGTGTAAGGTCGAAGAAATTTGTGATTCTATCAACAATATTATTTCTTCTCAGCAAAAACGCTTTCAGAATTATAGCAAGCTGACGTTCTTTGAGGTTCAATATCTTTTCATTTTTCAAACGTTTATTATTAACGTAACAAGGAAGCTGATGTCAAACATATCTGACATGATGATGACAAGCAGGGTCGGCACTCAAAAAATTTGGGAGGCCAAAAAGATATGGGAGATAAACAAACGAAGCTCCAAGTGCTCTGGGTGTCTATTCTCGTAACCGCGAAACAGCGTCCTCACGAGAACGATTGCTCCCCTGTTTCGAGAATAAGGGCCAGCTGGAGACTGGACTGGATGCCAAACCGGCCTGGACAAATAATGACTTCGATAATTATGAGCAAGTGGATATATCTGGATTTCGAGAAGGCGTTTGATAAAGTTTGCAACAGTTATCTTCTACATCAAGAACATAATGTTGGCGTTGCTAGTATAACTTACCACAATTTATATCATCTTTCTATTATGCCGATTCGATATTAATTATTCTGGCCATGTGGCCATTGTGTGGCAGATATAATTGTATACTATTTTAACAAATGTTCCGGTAAATATATTGGCCAATCTGTATGCCCGGTATCAGTGAGAAATTCATCAAATATCTAAACCAAAATTCGACGATATCAAATTATATACCAGGGCCGTAGAATCTAGAAACTGCGAGAAGATCTTAGAGCTATAAAAGTGTGGTCCAGTACCTGAAAAATGAGGCTAATTGATGGAAAATCTACTACCCTGAGCACTGAAGCTAATGCAACCGATTATGCCTGCAAAATAGATAATGCTGAGTTGAAGCATGTAAAACGGATATCACAATTATTTACAATCTGAAATGTAAGATGCGAATCTGACATCTTTATGAACCTTTATAAATCTTTCATAGGCCCAAAACTAGAATCCGCCCTATCAGTTTGGAATCAGTACTACATAAAGGCCGGCCTGACATAGCCGGAATGTCTTTTTGAATTTAGAAACGGAATTCAGAACGTACGGTCACGGAGTTGTGTATAATTTTTTATTACGCATGCATCATAATCATTTTGCGAATTAAATTTCCGTCGATAACTAACTAGTAGTAATAACTAATGGCGAATTGGCGATAAATAGAGTAGTAATAACTAGTCGCGAATTGGCGATAACTGAAGTTAACTGGCCTCAACATCTGGTTTAATAAGAAAGAGGAATCAACCTGTGGGTACCACTTTGAAAGCCCGTTGGCCACCCCTTAGTATCGGGGTTGAAAATCGACAAAATCGAAGATATCCAACCCTCCTAGCTTTCAGCGATTCGCTGGAAGTATCCTCCGGTATTTCTTGTTGTTTTCCCATTGGTTCTCAAGTTTCATCAACCTTCCCTATTCAAACTGATTCACCCTGTGATCCAGTTTGATGGCTCTCCAACAGTAGAGTTCGCTAGTTACATGTGGTCAAATTATTAATTGGACATATTTTTATTTGCAATCATATATGTAATCTTGACATTACTGACTCTTTAAAAATTTGAAAGTATCACTTTACCTGTGTCACTTCCCTCTTCGATTTCCCTCACCGATTTCCCTATTCGACTTCCCTCACCGATTTCCCTCACTGTAAATTATTTACCTTTGCTGGAAACAATGAGAACATGTCAGGTAGAAATGTCAAATCAGTGAATGACACATTTTGGCATGTTTGTTTTCTTTTTTTAATATTAATAAAATTAAATGACTAATCATATTCAATGGAGTGCTTGCAAATAAAATAGTATACAAACCTCGGAGGAAAGTTTTCATTTCTGTCTCGAGATTAATAGTCAATCTCGACGCTTCGCGTCTCGAATGACTATATAAATCTCTCGACAGTAATGAAACACTTCCCTACTTGGTGTGTAATATACTATTCCTTTTAATTGAAAACCTTCCCCTTCTCTAATTATGCTTTCTATTCTCATTTACTCATTTCTAACCTAATTATCAAGGGTGTGAAATGAATTAAACTATCCTCTATTAATTTATTCATAAAAGAATTCAGTAATCACTCCTATCTTGACCTACTTATATCTTAATTATTATACCTAAGCATTTGACTATCTTACAGTTTACATTTCACCAAAGTAATAATCCTTAATAATTTTACTGTGATACAATTTGTTATTTTATCTTTAAAAAAATCTAGCTCATGTTATCATTGTTTCGCTCCACACACACACGCCTCGAACATAATTATTTCTAGCAACGGTATCAGTTACCTGACATCTGGATTCGTCATAAAGCGTGGGTATTCAGAAGATTTTGCTTGACCTTGAATAAATTATTACAACCACATGGGATCTGGTGCAATCTACAGATTAGTTTAAAGTTTAGTGTTTATCTAGCAAAGCATAAATTTTGCCTATACGCATGTATTTGTTAATTTCGGGCTACAGCAAAATAATCCAGAAACTATAAAATTCGATACTTTTTTGGCTTTCAAGTGATTTTATTCTCGAACAGATTAGGTTGTTCGCAGAACTCCATGTGTTTGTAAATCCCATTAGGTTCACATTTTAACTATCTATGAAAATGAAACTGTTTCCCACGAAAGTTGAACTTGAACCAAGATTATGAATTTACTATTGATTTTGTTACACTGCCAGAGTAACTCTGACGAGCATTTTGAATTCCGGACCTGAAAAATTAAGATTATGAATTCATGACGCATGGTTTTTCATGTAATTCAAATAGGTATACAAGCTCTGTAACGCTCTTTTGTCGAAACAAAAGAATGCTCATAATTGTGCTCGACTATGCTCAGTGGTTGTTTAGCTTGGGGGGGGGGGATGGGTGGTCTTGGTGTTGGCACAGTAGAGAGAGGGTGCCACTAGTTTGTATAAATTATTTTGATTATAAAAGAATAGCCAAACTAGACACTATTCGAATAATTAGCTATTATTTAAAAGGATAAATTCAAAAATCTGAAAAGGTAAAACAAATCCAATACCTATCTGACATTTAACCCATTCAATAAAAACACAAGTTTTGGAATTCTAAAAACAATGATTTATTAACCAAATGGCAAACTTGTTGTTCATTAACAGTTTGTTGATCGGATGGCGAACTTGTTAATTAATGTTCTATGTTCATTAACATTGAAACAAATACATTGTTTAAATGTGATTATTGTCAGTATCCAATTTTATAAAAAAATTATAAGCAGCTTACCGAAAGCAATACTTAATTTAAATAGGTATATAAAAGGATTGAAATTTAAAAACAATTAAATAGATACGTACGACCAGAATTACCTAAGTATAAATGTTGAAGTCATAATACCATTAACCTTTAATTTTTTGACTCAAAGTCAATCAAATCGAAAAAAAAACAAATTTATAAATGCAGAAAGGTAATAAATAGTCCCTAGGGAGTTATAAATGCCAAAGACGGGCTATATAAAATCAAGGATATCGGGGAGAATTCTACCGTCTTACCTGTAATTAAAATTCAAAATATGTAAACATAAAACTCAACTTTAACTACCTAAAGATTTTACATTGGTTTACCTTGTAAAACTACCACCTTGATTGATTTGAAATTAAAAGCTGAATTAACCTTTTAAAGGATAATGAGCCCACAATATATTATATCGATCAGTACTCGATATAAAGGAAATGGATTTATGATAATTATAATAATTGTAATAATGCATAATTATTAGATACTTAATGAATAATGATAAAGAAAATGATAAGAAGACTAATATTGTCACAACTGTTCTCTTTACGGGGGTGACATGGGGGGTTTGTAGCTTTTGGGGTTGATGGAGAGAAACTCGCTCAAGTTATATAAAAATATACACATATATTTTTCCAAATATGCCCTTACATGTACGCTAGTCTTAGAGGATGCATGACCCTTCGAACACTGGGGTCCCTATAGGGAGCCACACGTTCACGCTGCTTGCGGGACTGTTGATTAGTTATCGTCACCCTTATGCCTTGTCCACAGGGGCTTTCCCAGCGAGAGGTAATTGCACTGGACAACGATAAGGCTGAAGATACCCAGAGGGGCTTTCCCAACGAGAGGTACTTGCACTGGGGAGACTCAATTCCAGAGGGCCTTTTCCAACGAGAGGTACTTGCACTGGTTTAAGTCTGCCTTTGCTGCGGCTTGCAGCGCAATTTATATCCGTTTATTGCTGAATTGCAATAAACATCCGACCGAATCGGCAATTAAATTAATAGGGTTAAATACCGGGTTCTCCTTTCCTAAGCAGCTAGTTGACATATTTGATTATGATAATAATCAATAAATTAAACTAATAATTAATTGTAAACGGTAGTTAGCTGTTATAGCTAAAAAGCGGTAAACGATTAAGTCGATAGTTGAATTTACAAAGATATTAATTAGCTAATTAAGCTTAACGATAGGGGGTGATAAAGAAAAGGTAAAAATAAGTTATGGTAATTAAATTTACAAAGATATTAATTAGCTAATAAAACTAATCGATAGGGGGCGAGAAAAAAAGGTAAAAATAAGTAACGGTAATTAAGATTTACAAAGATATTAATCAGCTAATAAAGCTAATCGACAGGGGGCGATAAAGCAAAGGTAAAAAAGAGTTACGGTAATTAAGATTGCACGGTTAAGGGCCATATTTTCCATAGTTCATAAAGCCTGGCTTAGTGGAAACGCTTGGCTTATTGCGTGACAAAGCCGAGCTTTTCCACTCAGCCAGGCTTTATGAACTACGGAGAATATGGCCCTAAGCCAACCATAGGTAAGTAAATATACAAGCCTGGACGGAATTCTTGTAAAGCCTCGGAAGTTTTCACAAATTTGAGATCTGGAAGTACCAAACTGGCTAAAGACAACCAAATAACGGTTGGGGATCAACTTCTTACAGGACACAAACTTTCCTTGTAAAGGGGGCCCAGATTTACTCTGAGTTTCCAGGACAGCGTAGTCTCAAATTCGTCAATTTTCACTCAGTGCAGGCACGGATTTTTCGTCTTGCCCAAAGTGCCTGGATGAATTGAAGGAATATAAGGACTCATTCATCAGAGAGAAAAAGGGATTTATTAGCCGTTCACAATCCGATGTCCACAGGTAGGTACAGGTAAAATCACCTTTCAATGCTATTTGATAGGGAAAGGTGATAAATTTACCTGCACCTGTGGAAATCGGATTGTGAACAGGATATACATACCTGAACGGCCGCTAGTAACCTCACTTTCCAAAATCTTCACAAAAATCAACAAACGGTTGATTTTCCAGGAAACTTTTTAGTAGACACGATCGAGCACTCTTGTGGCTAGTCTGCTAGATTTTTAAGATTAAAAATTTGGACGAACGTTTCGGTCCAAAGACAAAAGAGAAAAGCCCAACTCAACAGTACCTAAATTGGTTCTGTTCTTTCTTTTTTCATCTGTCAAGCTTGTCGAAATTATAAAAATGACAGCGCTACAGGTTTCTTGGAAATACCCTTAATAACAGAATTCTCGGTATTAGGTTAGGAAAACTAGTCAGAAGAATCATAGATGTCGCGAGGTGTTCGAAATAGTCCTTTTAAATGAGTCCAAAATAAATAAAAATAATTAGGAACAATAAATATATTGTTGTAACATTTCAAATGTTACAGCTCACACAGCCAGAATTCAGATTCTTCTCTGGTTGACCGTTTATTTGAATAATGCACAAGTGGTGCGTGGGAATACCAGACCTGTTGTTACCTATTGTGATGTGTGATATGGCTCTGGTTCAAAAGAGCGATATTTAAAATAGCGACAACAAAAAAGTGACATATCAAAATAGCGATATTCAAAACAGCGACATATCAAAACAGCGACATCCAAAACAGCGACATCTAAAAAAAACAGCGACATATGAAAAGAGCTACATTCAAAAGCGCGATACTTTAGAACAGCGACATATCAAAAGAGCGGGATTTAAAACAGCGACCTCTAAACAAAAGAGCGACATATCAAATTGAATCAATAATAATCAAGAAAATGCAGACTTACTCAAACTAACCCGTCCGCCTAATACGATCCAGTCCTCGTAAGTTAGCATTTTATTTGAAAAAAAAAGTTAATTTGTTATATTGAGCGTCTCTTGAGCATACGAATCAATATTATTCATGACAATGCAGACTAACAAAAACTAACCCGTCCGCCTAGCGCGATCTAGTTTTCGTAAGTTAGCATTTTATTCGAAAAACAAAGCTAATTTAGTTATAGCGTAGCGTTGATTGTTATTGGTTCAAAATGATATCGCCATAGAGACTTACACAAACTAACCCAAAATAACCCGTCCGCTTAGTGCGATGTAGTCCTCGTGAGCATTTTATTTAAAAAAAAAAAAACAAAGATAATTTACTTATAGCGTAGCGTCTTTTGATCTCGCTTTGTTTTTCAAATAAAATGCTAATTTAGGAGGACTAGATTGCACTAGGCGGACGGATTAGTTTGGCTCTCTTTTGATACGTCCTTATTTTAATTTGTCGCTCTTTTTAAATGTCGCTGTTTTGAATGTCGCTGTTTTTATATGTCGCTGTTTTGAATTGTCGCTCATTTCAAATGTCGCTCTTTTGAATGTAGCTGTTTTGATGTGTCGCTCTCTTGATATGTCGCTGTTCTGAATGTCGCCTAAATGAGATCGCTGTTTCGAATATCGCCCTTTTGAACCGGAGCCGTGTAATATTTCCTATATATTCATATGTATTCTCATGTATTCCTATATGTGATATAGAAAATTTTATTTTAGGCGTAGAAAGTCATCCTTGTATGTAGTACACTTCCTTGGAGGAGTACCATGAGGGAAAACAAAAACTTGGCTGCAGATAAATAAAGTTTTAATTCCAAATTGGGATACATTAAATGACGGTAGTACCTAATCAAAAAATAAAGCAGGATACTGCTTTAATTGAAGTAATGTGGTACTGGCTCTACCTCAAACTATTTGAATTAATAGGGTGGAACCAGTATATCTGGCATTGTCAAGATATGTGTGCGGCAATGTGCCGGAATTCAAATTTTGAATTCTGTTCTTCAGAAAGACATTCCGGCTGTGTGAGGCCGGTCTGACGAGTGTTTTGAATTCCGGAGCTGAAATATCAAGATTATGAATTCATAACGCATGTTTTTCATGTAATTCGAATATACATGCTCACACACCGGTAGTTTTACGATAATCTCTGTGGACCAGTTTCCTGTTAGGCTAAACATCCAGAAAAAGATCCGCTGGTTGATTCCAATTGTTGACACTTTTGTTTCTTTGAAGCCAAGGCTAGCTGGCCAGTAATAACTGAATGGAAGAGTTCGCTTATAAAGTTTAGTGTTTTTCCTACTGCAGCTTGGATTTCTCAATCGATCGCGATTCGATTCGAAAATGAGTGAAAATGTTGTAGTTTAAGAATCACTTTAACATACTCTTGACACGTGATCTTAAATGAAAACATTGAAGTCTATGGAGAAAAAAAATTATAGGTAGGTACTTATATTTAATAAAGATATAACTTTTATAAATCGATTAATTATGGTTACCACCTCGAGCATTGTGAGTAAAAATTTGATGAGCTAAAGTCTTCCTACCTACACTGATAAAAAACTATTGTCTATTATCTTTACAACATTATATTTTCTTGTTCACATTCATATATGTTGGAACAAAATTTAATTTTCATTATTATTACCATGGAAATGAAATGGACAAAAGTTTCTCACAAACTTTCTACCAGCATTCTTCAAATTTGCCTTTTACGCAGATGTGTGATTTAAAAAAAAAACGAAGAAATCATATTCTCTCACTACATAAAGCCAAAGTGCTACCAAATAGAATATCTGTTGAAGTTTTCTTACTGTAAGTAGGTAACACTTCCATAGCAGAGCAAGGCTTTGATAATAGGAAATGAAATTGTAATTTCCATAAACAACCCTAAAATAGAATGGGTAAACAGAGATAAATTTAAGTAAATAAATTGAATATATATTTTTTTTTAAGGTGGAACTTGCATTTCGCCTCATGCTCACTGGCCGTCCAGAATTGATCCAGCAAGCAATACATCTTCTTCCAGTTTGCTCTCGCCTGGATACTCTAAATACACAAGGACACACTGCATTAATGCTTGCAGCTATCCACAATGACGATACTACATTATCAGTAAATACTACCTAATAGTTTTTTTTATAGATATTATTCAAAATCGTATTCTAGGCGCTTCTTGACGCTGGAGCTTCACTAGATACAGAAACACCACCACCTTCAACTCCTCATTTCGTAGCTGTCAATGGAGAAAATCAGCATTGGACAGCACTAACTTATGCTGCAGCTAAAGGTCATGTGAGGTGCACTAGAATTTTGCTGGAGCGAGGAGCTAGCGTCGAGGGAGGAGCTGTTGCCAGCGAGGAAAAAATTACTCTAACACCATTACAGGTACTTAATTTTTTAGAACCTAAAGATTCTATGTAGTTGAATATCCTGTATTTTTCAGGTGGCTTGTGGCAGTGGTAACGTTGACATAGTATCCCTTCTTTGTGCCCACGGTGCTCAGCCTTTTTTTTCCACGCAAATCAAAGATACACTCAGCTACTCAGCATCTACCCAGCGTGGTTGCTATAGTGCCATATCAGTAGCAGCTGCGCATGGTCACAGAGTTGTTCTTCAGAAATTGCTGGCGCAACCTTTGTCTCCTGTAAATAAAGAGGTTTTGAGCCTGGAAGAAATGTTGGCTGAAGGTAAGTGTATTTATTCAAGGTTCAAGACATTTTTCACCAAAACTCCAGACACTTTGAGAAATATTCTTAGGAACAAAAATTCATAAACACTTACATATTATATGTATACTTACCAATAGCACTGACAGAATTTCCTCATGCTAATCTGCAAATTAAGTTTGAATTTAGTGAGCATAAAATAAACAATTCACAAAGTCAAGGTTGTGTTATAGAGTAAATTATTACTTATACCGCGAAATAGTTCTCATTAGGTAACCGCAGCTTAAATTCAAACGGGATAATAATTTGTATTTAATCTAGACTTTGATATTAATCCAATACAAAAAATGGTTATGCGCGGTCGTCGTTCTTCCGATGTTAATTGGACTGGTTATGTTTCGAACAATTGGTTGAGTTTTTGTGTCTTTTCTGTTATCGTTATCCGTATGTTTATAGATCTCTATTGCTTCTCGTACAAGACGACTATGATGTCCTGAAACAAGGGCAAAAAGCCTATCTAACCTCTTCCTTATAAGAACAGAACAACAAGAAAGGCTTTTTGTTGATCTCGTCTGTTTCCATCGTATTTAACTCGGGTGCTACGCGGTTAGGTGGTCCAGGATCTGGTCCAGGCTCTGTCTTATTTCAAACAACGAAGAAGTCCATCCAAGTATTGGAAACATACTGGCGGTTTGAGATCGAAGTTTTTTTTTTTAACAGTCCACCCCGATTTATTGGATTTGTGATGAGAATTTGGAAAAACTGTCCGAGCGTCGATGTTTGATTTGAGGGGGAACTATTTTTTAGTTTGATTCATCTCCTTAGCTTCAACCCCCTAGCTAGGGGGAGAACAACCCCCCAAATTTGAATAAGGCATAGGGGTCGTGTCACACCTCTTTTTAAATGTCTCATCGAGTCCTTTATGGCCCTACAATTTAGTCTTAATATTTTCATCCGTAACAAAATGACAGCTTGTCAAAATATTGGAAATAGACTATTCTTTTAGTAGAAGTAAAAGCGGTACTTACCTCCCTTAATAAAAATACGAGTTGAAATACCTACAATTCACAATTCTCGTGTACCTATATCTCATTAATGATCATAATAAAAAACTGCAATTTTAATTATTTTTATTAAGGAAGTAATGGCGTTTCCGATTGGTAGATTCAGTGCACACTGAGTGTATTTGTATCCTTTTAATCGACCTGTAGAAGAAAAAGACAGAAATAGAAAAAATTGCACTAGTTCCGCACTAGATCTACCAATCGGAAACGCCATATGTATCGCTTTTACTCCCACTAAAACAATAATCTATTTCCAAGATTTTGACAAGCTGTCATTTTGTTAATGATGAAAATAGTGAGATGAAATTCTAGGGCCATAAAGAACTCCGTAAGACCTTCAAAAAGAGATATGACACGACCCCTATCCCCCATTGAAATTTAGGCATTTATTCTGCCCCAGCTAGGGGATTGAAGCTACGGGGATGAAAAGAACTGAAAAATAGTTCCCCCCCAAATCAAAACTCGACGAGTCCGAGCGTTTTTACAGATTCTCATCTCAAATCCAATAAATCGGGTCGGACTGTTTTCCCCTATATTAAAATCTCGCCAAAATAAGTTGTTTGTCAACAAATTGTTTATATAAAAAATTCAAGATAATGAAAATGAAAATGAATTAGGTTGAAAATTGAAAGGAGTTTGTCATTGATTCTTCTGATGAAAAAATGGAAATGTATAGTAGGATACTTATTATGGAATAAGACTCATTATGCTGGACTAATAAAGGCTCGGGGGAAAAAACTCTTAATCACTTTCACGACCGCTATTATGAAATTTGACGATGCTCGAAACCAACCGCGTTTTTTTGGGTAGCATAACTTTTGACAGAAACTATATATTTTTTACAGGTTATATGTGTTTTGTTATATATTTTTAGTATTAAAATTTGATGTCACATATATGCGACATCGGTTTCCGATAAGTTTTCCATTAAAATTTACCACCTGTCACAATGGCAAACCGTGCGACACACATGTGTGACATAAACTGTTAGCTGTTCTAGACTCTCGGCTACGCTGTATAGGCGATAATTATTCCCAACAAACACAATTACATTCCAAAGACGTACATAAGGTGTAACGTTATGACATACTGTACGTTTGTAAGACGTCGATTTTAGAGCCAAGTACGTCTTGAAGACGTATTGGGCAAGTCGTATGTCAACTCCATAATACGTCTTAAAGACGTACAGCTTAGAGCCATAAAGAACGTCCATGATACATCTTGAAGACCTAATTAAGTACATATTGCAAACCAAATAAAAGAGGATTTTTTTACTCAAATCGTTTATTATTTATTCGCTATTAGCTGACTAAACCTGGAATAACAACAAAAGAAAAACATTAATTCAAAAGTATTGCAACTATACTAGAGGTGGGCCAACCTGCGATTTTACTGGAACTGTGACAAGACGAGACTGCTCCAGTCCTGTCACGGTGACAAATAGCAGTGATTTTTTGGAGCAGTTTATCCTTGACTGGCCGTACTGGTAATACATTTAAATCCTACATTACATAATCGCAGTCCGCCCAGTTCGCAGTCACGACCGAGAAAGATGTTCCAATCAGCCCTCTACAGTAGCAGTTTCTATTTTACGTCACCGCGATGCGATTTATAATAATATGTGATAATATTTTTTCATTATTTCCACCACTGTCTTGAGTTTAGTCCGCGCTGTATCGATCAGAGATCGAAGCGGCCATGACAAAATGTCACTGCTACTTGAGTGAGACTGGAGCAGGCTGTGACTGTGACAGACCAGTAGCAGTGACAAAGTCACAGTTCGTGAAATCGCAACTCACCTCTAAATACCTAGATAAATAAAGCATAACCTAAAAGAACTGCAACAACATATTGTTAAGGATTGATTGGGTTGGGACTCTGGTAAACTAATTAGCACAACACTGTTTCACTGAACTGACTGAACTTAATTTATTATTAAAATTGGGAATATTCTGTCTATAACAACCTTAGAGCAGGTCTACAGTAGAACTAATTTTTAACCTCCTGTTCTGGAAACATCCTTAACTAAATTGTTGCTGTATTTTCTTTATTAAATAATTTTCGCAAAATTTCTAACAGGCTTCTAACCTAACGTGTCGTTCGCCACCTCACATAAGACATAAAGACGTAACGACATAACCTCAATCTCGGAACAAGGATATTACACCTCTCTTTCGCTAACTACCCTAACATCTACGTCATCATTTATCAAATTTCAAAATGACCATAAATGAGAGCGAAATTCAAAGAAAGTCTGTTTTTTTTTTTAAATATAATTCCCCAAATCAAAAATTTAGTAAATATGTTGGTAAAACAAGCCTTTTCTACATACAAAATTTGAAAGCATTGACAATTTCACATTGTATTGCCAACATAATGTCATTTTGACTTAAAAAAAAACAGACTTTATTCAAATTTAAATTCCTACAGATTTGTTTGTATTTTACACTTTTAAACATAAAACCAAAATGGTGGACGTAACTGTACGTAATATGGATGTTTAATATGTATCTACATAAAAGGTACAAAAGTGTACGTCTTATGTACGTTCTGAATAGGTCATACGACGTACGGACGTAAATATGACATAAAATGGACGTTTTAAGTATGTAGTGTGTTTGTTGGGTTGTTCAATATCCAGTGAGTGTTACCTTGTAACGTCAAACTCCAGTAGAAGAGTCTAGAAACGACAGAAATCCGCACTAGTTGGGAGACGATATGAATCGAGATATGAACCACAGCTGCCACCAGCTTATGACTGAAACAGATTATCCAATCCTGAAACCATGCGACACAAATGTATGCCAAACAGTCCTAGAAACTGATGCCAAAACACATTTGTCGCCGATGAACCGCCCGGAAGTTATTTGTATTCAATCATTGTAGGGTCATTGTCATTCTTGTGTGACATCAGTTCCTGGCAAAAACTGCTTGTCACATAATATGTGTGACGCGTGGTCGTGAAAGTGTTAATAGAACTTTAGGAGAAAAATTTAAACCTGTATGTCAAGCCAATCAAAGGCCCGCATTTTAAAACGTTTCTGTGAAAACTAGAAATGAGTACCCTGCACAAAATTACACTGAGAATTGGAAAAATTGGATAACAAGAGAAAAGGTGAATGATGCGTTTCGTCAAAAATTAGTGTGACATCTGCCTTACCTGATTAGAAACAGAACTTTTTTCTTTGTTTTATGCAATCAGGGTAAAAATATCCTCTCCAAACCGAACACTTACGTTCAGGATTATTAAATAGAGTGCTACCAGAAGTAGGTACAGTGTTATGAGAAGTAGGTGGAGTATAGCTAGAAGAAGATGGAGTCTTACGTAAATTAGATTTTTACGAGTAATTGAGGTTTTGCGATGTAGACATGTCGGCCTTAGAGGGAATGATTTAGCATAAACTTGATTTTTTTAGAATTTTTCCAATGATGTTTGTTGTAACTTTTTGCCCAAGTTAAGGACAAGGAAGAAATTCTGATTTATTACTTTGGAATAGTTTATCTCAAGCACTTACTGTACTTTTGACTTTGTGAAACCGCACCAAACCAAACTATTAGTTTCCATCTAAATTTATTTCAAATGGTAGAACTGATTGATTGAAAATAGGTCCAACTTGAGGTAATGTTTGCCTCACGTGGTAGAAAATCTCATAATTTCAATAAGAAACATTAATTACTGCATGGAATTCATGAAGGGAATATGCAATTCAGCATACCTAATCGGATCTATTTCTTAGTGTCTTAATAGGCAAATGGGTACACCTTCAAAAGTTGTATATTAAAATATCCAATCTCCAAATTCCAATTTGTTTTTTTTTTTATTAAATAATTGCGTGGAAATTAAAGGGAATCTAATTCTAATTTTATTAATTTCTAATAATTTTCTATAAACTGTTTCGATGTTAAGTCTTGTCAAAGTTTTTACCCCAGGAACGTTATTGCAAAATGAGAAATCCGGATTCGATGGCCGGAAATAAATCGTAAATATTTTGGATTTTGGTTCAAGAAATTTTTTGCGACCGGTTTTGTTATGGGTGTCTCAG